TCAGCAGGACAAGGATTGAAGCCAGGATTTCACTGATTTTATTTTAGACAATGCCTTTTGTTACAGTTCACTACAATACCATAAGAGAGACTGTATTTTTCATTATGAGAATGAAAAAATGTACATTTTAATTACATGAGTTTGCCTGGAGCATACCTTGTTTTTCCTGATGTACATATGCACTAACATGAACTGAAATCCTCAGTTCCAAGAAAATAAAGAAATACAAGAGACAGTGTTGGTAGCCTGCCATCCTTTAGCTTTACATGAATACAGATCCTTGGCAGCTTCTTTTTTCTGTTCTTTAGAAAAGATGGAGACCCCACATACCAGTTTCTTTAATTATTCTAGACATGTGTCATGTATTGGCCCGATTCTTTTTCACTAAATTCAGTGGCACTGATTTTATTCAGAACCAGAAGTTAGGACGGGGGTGCTCAAACCCTGGCCTGTGGATCAGATCCAGCCCCCAGGCACCATGTAATTCAGCCTCTGGGGTTCCCCACAAATTCTATGGGGAACCCCAGGGGCTGTGGCCCTGTGTGCTAGATTGGGCAGCGCAGGGCTCCTGGAGCCTGATCCAGCCTGTGGACTGGTCCAGCACCATTCACCTGGCCCACAGGACCAAAACACCACTAAGTTAGGACTATGAGCTACTGCTGTGAGCCTGCTGACAGACTGAGCCAGATTCAGATAAAGGTAATGGATTCAGCAAGTGTTATTATATTTTGAAAGAAGTTATTTAAATTTTTTTTCCAGTTTTATTGGATTTGAGGCTTTTGTTTTTTTACAATTGAAAAGAAAAAAGGTGGAGAGACACTCTAAAACACCTTTGATTTCACTGGTCTTTATCCCCAAATAGGATTTCCTAATTTATATTACAGTTTGTTAAAAATATAGACATTGCAAAATATATTTAGTCACCTTTACTCTGTCACTGAACTGGTATTTTGTGATCATCATTTCTTGCAAGTGGCAAAAGTCTGCATTCATTTCCACTCCATATAACTGGAATGCTGAGCTGTAAAGACAGCCCTGTACTAAGGAAAGAAAATATAATAACTGAGATGTCTTTAAAGTAGCCTGAAATGGAAAAAATAAGGGTAAAGTACGCTGCAAAGTGAAAAACTCCAAGATTACAAGCAAGTAAAAATGTGTTATTGGGTAAAGTCAAGTCATTTTGAAATAATATGGATAGGAAATGCACTAGAGTGGACAGCTACAATTTTTTTAAAGGTTAAGACTCTGTTTTGGCAGTTACACTTAATATTTTATCAATATTACCATTCAAAGGAAGGAGTTGAGCCGAGAGGCCAAAACAAGATAAAGGAAATTAAGCTGCGTATCTAGCTCTTACACTTCAGTTGGTAAATAAATGGAAATTGGCTGAAAGAGAGGAAACATTAAAGCAGTATAAACTGAATCATGGAAGTAATTTGCAACAAGGGGAAAAAGCTCAAAAATAAAACAACAGTCTTACAGAATGGTGGGATTTTTTTGTATTTAGGGAGGAGATGGAAGATATCTTTGAAACAGCAAAATCCAACCCCTCCCCCCATGACACCCAATGAATAAATATAGAATTCAATCCACAAGATGGTATATGAGAGACAATTTGTGCCCATACTTCAATAGGTGAACTCAGAACAGGATCTCTCTTAAAATGAACAACACTACATATAAAAGTACTTCTTGTATGTGCATATAAAATGTAAATGTATATTTTACCATTCATCAATAACTCAAAATTATTCTAAAGTAGTTCATCTTTTGACTGAGATTATGGAAAGATTCTGTTCAAGGGGAGGAAGAATTTCTGAGATAGCATGAATGCCTGAAAACTTGGGGCTATAATGGATAAAATGCTGCAACTTTAACTGCAGCTTCATTTACAATGAACACTGTAATTACATCTAGTTCATTATAGGAAAGACAAGAGTATGCCAAACATACAGAATTTTTCAGATGTCCATGTACCACAACTTGATTATTATAGCTTTCTGAAGCCCTTCAACCCTATGGCCAGAAAAGCCGCCCGTGCACAGAAAGTGAGGCAAATTGCCAGTTCTGTAATGCGAGCCAAGAATCTGATGAAAAGGAGACCTATTCTTTTAACTACGTTGCTCCTTCCTCTTGAGGCTATCTTCCATTATAACAGCATGAATGTTTCAGAGCTTCAAAAAAAAAAAAAAAAATTCAGTAAGCATAACAGCAAAGTGTTACCATTTAAGGATCTGATTGCACAAACATTTACAGATGGGAGTAACTTTATTCATGAGCAGTCTCCACTCAGATGAGTAAAATTAAAAGTTCAAGTGTTTCCACTATCAGGGTGTAAAGAGCCAATGACTTTGAGAAAAAGGTGAGGTGTATTAACTGTTATAATTTACACCTAGGCATATTTTGCATTGCTGTTGGCCATATGTTGCACCAATTGTGCCAAAAGCAATCAAAATTCCACTTGAGTTTCCTGATAAAATGTTTTATATGCATTTTTTAAAATGCAGAATAAGGCAACATATTTTAAGTGGTATATAATCCTTCTCTCTGTATTTAGCAGTTTGGTAACTTCATAATGGCATTCACTAACCTCAAGAAAATATATGGTCAGGACAGAAAAAGACGAATTAATTTACCAATAAGAGACTGAGAAGTAAGAAACAGAAGAACAGCCAAAACATCCAACAGCAATAGCCTGTGCTGTTGGACAACAGACTCCTGGCCAATAAATGCAATGGTCTGTGTTTTCATTTTTAAGGGGAGCTGAAGGAGAACTGAACATAAACACCTCCCACTGTGGCCACACTATACATCCTTCTCTGTTGATCTGTCCTCTCAGATCAAGATACAGTTTGGAACAATGAGAGCTGCCAACAAGAAAAGGAAAATGTATGTCACAGAATATGATTTCCTGTGCTAGATTTACCGCGAACAGCACTGCACCGAGCCTGGAGCCAACATCAACCAGAGCCTTTCCTGTCAGGTCAGGCAATACATGTTGATAAAGAAACTTCAGCTCCATGAGGGAAAAGGAATGAGAAATAAACTCTGGGAAATAAGAAAAGAACAAAAGTGTTGGGTGAGCAATTTTTACCAATGCAAAGCTTTCCATAGAACTTATCATTGAAAATATGCCAGGTTTCTTGACAGCTTGCCTACCCCAGAGCAGGGAACCCCAATGTTTGTAGCTCTGGGGGAATCTGCTAAGCAGATCTAGGGCTACACTCCCTTTCAAAGGAGATTTTGAAATCCTCCAAAAAACTGAATTACCTTTTTCTGTACAGCTCTAATAATTATAGTTGCTTGCCAGCGACATCATAACAGCAGTATATTTACTTAAACAATTTGGGACTGCCACTGATCATAGTACCTTAGGTCTCAAAGCAGTGGTACTACAGACTTCCTAGCTGGACATGCTAATAGCTTAAAATTGCAACTGTGTAAAACCTTGACCCTGAATGTTATTGCAATAAAGTACTCAAGCCTTGCAACTTAAGTGTCCTGCCTTGCATTGGGGACACCCCAGAGCTACATCCCATTTAGTAGCAATTTCAGGAGGTATTGTAGCTTCAGCCTTTTGGTGCTCTTCCCCAATATGCAGGTAAAGAATGACACTGCTATGTCAAAAATCTTTGGCTTTTGCACTATATATTTTCCTCTCCAGCAGCCCCGTCTCCTTTGGATGAATGGAAAGTGTCACTTGCGTAGTGGTCATGTGCAAATATATCTGTTTGACCCATGTACTTGGAAAGCTCCTTGCATTCCCTCCCCACATAGAGTGGGGAATAATATGGCCTGCAGACAATGCCAGTTTGGACAAAGTCCTCTATCAGCTGGATGTTCTTGTGAACCATTTTAGTTAAAAACAGTTTGTTTGTGGCTCCCAATACAATGCTTACCTAAAGGTGCAGTCTTATGTGATCCACACGCCACACAATAATTTCTACTCATTTTTCCTTCCTCACACAATGAATCAACAAAGTCGTCATCATAAAGGAATGCATCAACATGAATCATAGGCTCTGGATGCTGATGCATCTGAAAAAGTGACTGATATCAAAGAAAGGAATAGCAAAGTCTTCTCATTTCATTTATGCAGTATTTAACAAAATCCAAGAGCCAGACTCTGGGTCTCATTAATCACTCATCTGGAATCTTGAAATTATGGTGTGCTACTTCCCCATGTACACACCCCTAAGATTCAGGCCAATCAATCCAAACTTTCTTATTTGTGTAGTTTATTTAGATATTTAATGGAATATATTTAATTTTTCTCCAAATCTAATACGGTCTAATCAACTCCTGCTAAACTATTAGACACTCTTAAACTTAAGAGAGCATTCAAACAGGGATCACACAGACCTAACAATATTAGTGGTGCACCGATAGAGATTTTTTGGGGCCAATACTGATGGCTGATTTTTAATGAGCCATATTGGCCGATAACAATCTGATTCTGATATGCAGCCCTGCAGTGTGGAGAATGCTGTTTGGCTGGTAAGTCTGTTGTAGGGGGAGGGCACGAGTGTGGGGGCGCAGATTGAGGCCCCCACAGCGAGGGAGGGAGTAGAGTTGGCATTGGGGCTAAGGTAGGGTCAGGCGCTGCACAGCCGGGGCAGGGCGGGGCATGGGATGGAGCTGTGACTTGTCTAGGGGATGTGGGGGCAGCTCCTGCCGCTGCACACACTATGGGAAGGCATGGGGGGTGTGTGCCCCCAAATCTGTGTGAGAGGGAGGGCAGGCTGCCGCTGTGGGCTTGGGCGGTACCAGGGTCTTCCTGGTGGGGGCTGGGCCAGGCTGCATTTGGGGTGGGTGACAGTGCTGGGAGTGGGGGGCTACAGCGAATTTTGGAGTGGCTGCAGCCCCCCCCAACCCTCCCTCCCAGTGCTGCTGCATGCCCCAAGCACAGCCTAGCCCAGCCCCTGGCTCCAGCCTGTGGTCGCAGCCTGCCCTCCCCCAGGTGCAGATCTGGGGGCAAACACCCCCCCATGCCCTCCCAGGGTGTGCACAGCAGCAAGAGCCACCCCCTCCCTGCCATGTCCTCCAGACGAGCCGTGGCTCTGTCCCATGCCCCACCCCGCCCCAGCTGGGCAGTCCCTGCCCCTGGGGCAGGTCCAGCACCATTCATCCAGCTGTATTCACCCAGCCCCACTCCCACTACGTCCCTCACTGTGGGGGCCTTGATCTGCCGCTCCTCCCATGCCCCTTCTGTCCCCCCCCTCACCCCTTCCCCCACAACAGACTTACTAGCTGGACCTGGCTGCTCTCCATGCTGCTGGGCTGCACTGTGGCTGCGTGCATGCACAGGGCACTTATCAGTCACATTATCAGCCACATCTGACAAAAAAGCCAATTGCCAATACTTTCAATTTTCCTCATATCGGTGGCGATCCAATATGGGACCGATATATCAACGCACCTGTAAACAATATTGATTTAAAGCCAACTGAATTAAACCAGTACAATTCCTGCATGCAAACCAGGATATCTAAATTTTCACTAGATAAGTGGCTGCACCATAGAAGCTGTCAAAGGAAAGTTGGAAGTTTATGCAGGTGAGCTGGGGACTGCCATGCTTTTGGTTCCTTCATGCTGGCTTTGGCATGTAGGAGAAACCAAATGCTTTAGTACTAGTAGGCAATGTTTTTTCCTTTTCCTTGCCACGCTTGGATGGGGAACAGTTGATGGGAAGAAAAAAAAAAAAATGGACATGGAGAGCTGAATTCCTCATTACTCACCTTGGAGGCACAGCAGGCTAAATTTGCTCCCCCCTTCAGCCTTAAACAGCTAAACAACAGCAACTTCATGCTTTAAAATCGGAGAATACTACTAATACACATATAATTATCAATAAGATGGTTATTATTAAGCAATTTTGCCTGTTTATTATTTCAAGGGTATGCATTTCTTCTTTCCTCTTCTCAGTCTCATGATGTGTGAGGACATCCCATTTTTCCAGCTTAGAACTACCTGCAGCTCCTTCAGGAATAAGTTATCTCTGTCCCAGATTGGTTAGAAGGGCTGCTCAACCAGAAAAGATGTTCCTACCAACAAGAGCTGAGGAGCCTGCCTCTTTCAGACCCTGATAGCTCAGAAAACATGAAACAAGAAACCAAAATTATATTCCTCACTGTGAAACCACCAGATGTTGGCCCCGTCTTTTCCAATGTTATGGTTATTATTTAATGTCTACAGTCTAATAGCACCTAGAGACCTTGATTATCATTTTGATAGGCACCTCCCTACATAGCTAAGTCATCCCCATTGCGCTTGGTACTCAACACATAATGAAAGCTGAGCCACTGCCCCAAATAACTTGTAATCTAAACATTAAACTTAATCACAAAGAAGTGAAGTGACTTTTTCCACGGCCACACAGCAGAGATGGGAAGAGAAGCTAGGTCTCCAAATTCCCAGTCCCATGTTTTAAATCATGTTGCTACCATTTTTGCTATTAAAATCTCCAAATGAGTGGCAGGAAGAGGTGAAAAAATTGGCTTACCCTCTGAATAGCAAGATGTTCTGAATTCAGCATTCCTTCAATGGGTAAGCATTTTCTAAGATCTTCAGCAATACTTCTGAGCATAACATCATTATTACTCAGCATGAAGTCATCAAAATCATCTATAAAACAAAACAAATAAATAAATAAACATGCCATTCATAGGTACATCTTGTAGGCTTTTCAGCGACCAGTATAATATAATTGTGACATGTAAATAGTACCAGATGCAGAGGGTTTTATTTGAAGTACATTTTCAAGCCTTTGTTACCTTTTCCAGCCAATGACAGATTTAGAGCCTAATAACTTTGCCCTTTAAAATAAGTGTAGAGTGTTTTTTAAATCCTAAATTATTTTTATATTTATAAATGTATAACTTACACATTTAGTGGGGTCTTTGCCCCCACTAAAATGATATTGTTTCAGTCTAAGATATTAAAACATCAAAGATGCTTTTGAAGTGCTGGAAAAATGACAAAACTCATAGCTCCTTGCAGGCACGTAATTTTTAGAAGTTTCTCTTTATATATACACACACACACACACCATCTTTCAAATAAAATACACAGAAATACTACTAGCAGAACTCATAGACAATACACAGGGCAACAGGTCCAATTACCAGATATCTTACCATTTTGACTCGCATCCAAGAAAAGGTTCCCCCCCACAAAAAAAAATATGGGAATAAAGCCTCATTTTAGATTTGATACTGGCCTAGGCCAGGCAGTGGCTCAACTGTGGCTTTGGCCCTGGGGCTCTGAAGTCTGAGCTGAGCTGCTGCTGTCTGCCTGCCCCAGGCCAAAATGGCTCATTTGGCATGGGAGGGGGGCACATGGCCAGGGGGAGCAAGAAGGTGTGGAGAACCCACCACCTCTCTCACCCCTTACTGTGTCCCACCCACTTACCTTCTGCTCTGGTTCTGGTCCCTCCAGCCCCTTACCTTCTGCTCTGGCCTCTAAGTCCCTGCCGCTGCTTCCCCTACCGCAGCAGGGGTTGGGGAATTAATTTAAAATGATTTTCAATAATCAGATTCTATACATATAAAATTAAACCAAAGTTATAGTTTTCCATGTATAGAATCTAATTATTTGGAGGGAGTCATCCTAAATTCAAAGTCATCTTGGGTTTAGGTAAACAAGGTAAATAACTTCTGCCCCAATATTTGCTCCTATCCGCTTCATTTTAGATCCTTTCCCAAAGCTAATTTCCTTCTAACCAAGGACAACTTGACAAAAAGGCTTCTTAATGCTCCATCTATATTGGGCCCTGAGTTAGTTTTTAACACAGGTCTACACAATATGGATATAAAAAAAAAAAAAAAAAGGGGGGCTCAGTCCCATCCATTAAGGCCTTGCTTACGTTTGGATTATTTTCATCTCAGTAAAAAATTTTTTCTCAAATGCCTTGTCTAGTTAAAATGTAAGCTCTTTGGACAAAGGCTGGTTTCTGCAATGTATACATACTGCACCTGACACAAAATGAGATCCTATTCTTGGTTAGAGCTTTGCAGTTCTTCTGCAGTATAATTATAAGTAAGCATTTTTCACTGCTCCTGGCACTGGTGGGTGTCAGCAGCAACTAAGGTTCAAAACAAGTCTACTAGACACAGTGGTTAATGTCAAGGACTTGCCTATAGTAGGACACCAGATAGTTTTACTACTGGTAGGCTGTACCAGCACCAGCAGTAACGAGCAATTTTATAGCCCAAAGGCCAGTTAAACCACATTTTTTGCCTTGTAGTGACTGAGCCATTCAGTAAATGTGATTTAAGTAAATATGATACTATTCAATACTGCAAGACATTCTCTCCCTACAGAAAATTGTGAACACTGTTTGAAGAATTCCCAAGACTGAGACCACGAGTCCAAATCCTGAATCTCTTACATGACGCTGTAGAATTTAGCGGTGTATACACTTTCAAATAATCTTGGAGAATTCTTCCAGATTTGTTTTCCTGGTAGAAAAATTTGCCCAGAGACCCCTGAACAGACATTTGAATGCTGAACCCCTGAAGAGCAGACAGCTTGTAGTGCTGACCCTGTGCAGCCAAGTGGCCTGTATGCCAGGGGTGGGCAAAATGTGACCCACGGGTTGGATGCAGCCTGCCAGGCCATTCTATCTGGCCCGCAGGGCCCCTAAAAAATTTAGAAAATTTAATATTTATCTGCCCCTGGCTGCCTATCACACAGCCCTCAATGGCTTGCCAAAACTCAGTGAGCAGCCCTCCGCCCAAAATAACTGCCCACTCCTGCTCCATGCGCATATCTCAATGTGCTGTGCAGGCTCTCTCAGTCTGACTGGAAGCAGATGGCAGCAGTGCATAGGGCAGCCCTAATTGACTGCTCAGGGGCAGCCTGTATCTCCCTGCAGCACAATGTGGGGATTGTGAAGAGGTCATGTTCTGCTCCCTGCTTGGCTGGAGCAGTAGAGTCCAGCCTAAGTGACCTATTGTCTCCTGGGTGGGGAGAGGGAGCAGGGGAGAGGAGAAACTCTCCTGAGAGTGATTTAACCCTGGTTCTTTAGAGGTTATATTTCTTTCAGGATAGTCATTTTAACTCTAGAGAAAAATCCTGAATATCTGTATACTTGTAGTTTCCACTAGGAGAGCAGCAACTCTCCCAGGATAAACTGAATGTCTGTACTTGACCTATTACTTCTAAGCCTGTAAGTCAGATAGACTCCATTAAGATTTATTTTGGTTACTGCTAGTTACCAGTTGTATCGCAGTCGCATTGTTCGAAAGCCCTAACTGCAATAGGATGCTCCATTGTATTAGGTATTATTGAAAAAAAGGAAGCCATGGTCATTGTCCCAAAGAACTTGTAATATCATATATCACTTTGTATCTAATGTTATGATGTTTTGGATCAGGTTTTAGGAAAGAAGGCAATTAAGCAAATTAAGTGATATAATTTACACAAGTTATGTGCTCAACTTGGCAGCTCCAGATTAATAGCAGTTTACTTCTATGTCTCCCACTTTCCTCCAGTCCATCCAACAATCTGCAGATTGCTTACAGGGACTGCAAAAGTAGTGGATCTTGAGGAGGAATTTCAAAAGGGCAGTGACTTTATCAGTCAGTGCAGGAAGCAGATGTTCCATGCATACAGGACAGCATGGAAGAGAGCAACAGTGGACTAATGGGTCTTCAAGGCAGGTCTCATTAGTGACGTAGACAGGGCAAGAGAAACTTGGTAAGAGACAAGAACAGATAAGAAAGGACAGACAGACAGACTTGTAAAAGGCCTTAAACATGTAGAGAAGAAGTCTGAACTTGATGAGATGAATGACAGTAGACAGAATTAGGGGAAAAAAAATGGTCACTGGATCAGAACAATGAGCAAGAAAGATGATATTAGCAGCTGCATTTGTATGGACTGGTGACTGTGGACAGTAAGCTCCAACATCTGGCAGTGCTTTTAAACAATAGTTACTATACTGAAGAGCTCACCCAGCTGTTATCCTGATTGGTATCAAATTCACATACAAATTTAAATAAGATGCAGAAAGTGTCACTAGATTACCCACGCTAGTAAGGTAAATCTTCAATATGACCACAGTTAACCCTTTTCTAAATTGTTTAGTCAAAACAAAACAAAAAAAGATTCAATTTTCTTTTCTTTTTTTAAGTATTGTTATTTTTTAAATAAAACCACTTAATCAGCATCACAAAACTGACAGATCTTAAGTTTCACTTTCTGTATGTCAGGGAAAATGCTAGATAAAATGGCTACTATGGTTCTTGGTTGGCTGGGAAAGATATGAAAACCCCAAAAAGTTATGTCCCTGAAATAATTGCCCCCCATATTGCTAGGGAAGCCCCAGACTCCATACTTGTGATTTACTAAATAAAGGGAATGTTCACTGATCCAGATTCTATAAAATCCTTGTAGAGGGAGTATGGCCCAGTAAACAGGACACTGACCTGGTTTAAGATATGGATATGGATTATGTAAAAGATATGGATTATGTATACAGTTCTACCACTGAACAGCTACATGACCTTGGCTGAGTCTTTTAACTAATCTGCATTAGTTTCCCCTTGCCACTTGCCTTATCTAATTACACACAATAAATTCTTAAAGGCAGGGATTGTGTCTTATGAATTTGTATATTATCCCTCAAAATAAGGTTTGCATCTTGGCTGGAATCTCTAGAACAGGGGTTATCATTGTTTTTGGGCAGAGTGCCAAAAAACACTTGCAACCTTGACTTGCAAGATGTTGGCATGCCAGGGGTGGATGGCAGGGGAGCCACGAGGGGACCAATCCTTGTTGTGGCAGTGCAGCCCTGGCCCCTTCCCTGCCATCTACCCTCAGGTGCATATGCCAAGCAAAATGCCTGTGTGCGCCATGCTCTGGCGGTTACTTCAACACAAACAATAACAAACACAATAAAGTCAGTGACCTAAGATCACTTTCTGCAGGTATTTTGTGCACAATGGAGCACTTAAAAACAAACAAACAAACAAACCAACCAACCAAAACCTATAATTGAAAACCATCCTTGGCTTAATTGACCCCAAAAAACAAAACTAATGAAACATGGGTACTGAAAAGCAGACAACTAATTAAAAGTACTTTTCTCCAAGTAGTGCTTCATATTCCACTTCACATATGAATATTACAGGGCACAACCAACAAAGCTGATTGAATCTATAACCTTTGTTTGAAGTTACAGAATAGCAACCTATTAAGTTTCACTTGTGTAATGGCCTTTATTTGTTCACTTAATCTGTGACTAAAACTCAGAATTTGAAAGATTATCTAATTCATAATCATGGAACAGAAATACCCAATACAATAAATTATAGCAGACTGCCTTAGCTAGGTATTTATAGTAGTAGGCATCTGTCTGTCTTGTGAGAGTAGAATTACACTGAGTGAGACATCAGCTCTCTGAATACAATCCTTGCTTGAAAGATAAAGCAGCAAAAAACTGGGCAGTATATATGGAGACACCAACCAGCCCACACACCAGTGTCCCCCCCAAGTATGTTATCATCTGTTTTCCACTCCAAAACCAGTTCCACTGGATCTGCTCACTGTACATTTGTAATTTAATTAACACTTAGAAACAAACACCTTACTGCTGCTCAGCAATAAGGTTTTGGACATTA